AGGAACAGTGGGGTGTTAACTTTTTCTGACTCCTGAAGGGAGGCACGCCAGAAAAAAAGTTTGAGATCTATTGGTTTTGACATTCAGTAAGCCCCATAACTAGAAAAGAACATACTGGAAGTAGGCTAATATAAACACCGGTGCATTTACCGATGGAGCATTGCACAGGAAAAAAACACAAAACACAGATGATGATTTGGAAAGATGAAGAATAAAAGGTTTTTGTTAAAGTGGGTTTTAATTTGAAAAGTGAATGAGAGTTTCTTTTGTCTTCAGGTCATATGGAAATAATTCTTCTTCTTGCCTATGTGAGCACGCGTAATCATAATCAGTCATATAGGGAGTGGCAAACAGCACAAGGGAATTTCTGTGGACAGAAAGAGCCAGCCAGGAATAACACAACAAACATGTCTCCTCTCATTAAATCTCACATTACCTTGAGTTCTAGTTTTTCCTTAAAGAAGCAAAAATAAAATATCAGCCGGGAGGATTTGCTTCCTGCATGTTCTTTTGTCATTGTTTTTAAGCAGAAGCCAATTAAGGAATGTGACATGCACAAAATGTGAAGGGAAATGTATATCACCGCTGTTTGTGGGCTGTTTTTCCCTCGGGATATACAGGAAAAATTGTAGTGTGGAATCGAATTGTAGGAATTAGTCTGTGTCCTCTTTACAGACGTAGTCCACCTGGATTTCATCACACCAGACCAGCTTTCAGCCAAATCTTGAGTTTTTTATGTCTCTGTAACTAACTTGCAGCCACACTAAAACCTTTGCAGGTTAGTGTGTGTGCACCTGTACATTAGTGATAAGGCCAGCATTTTCACTTGCAGGACTACGTATGTATCTGTCACAATGACTTTAGACAATAAACTCATCCTTTACCATGGAACACCCATTTTTATATGCTTACATGGTGCACCCATGCTTACTCTGCATATGTCCACTTTTTTAACAACATAATTGCTAACCATACCATTAAGTCATGGCAGAGGCTTTATATGTGTAGTAACCATAAATTTTTCACACACCTTTCCTTTCCTTCCTCTCGATTACTGTGAAAAAGACTAATTTACTGTAATCGAGGGGAAGGAAAGGAAAGGCAGAGGGCTTAAATGCTTTGAATCACTGTGTTTGAAAAAGCAGCTGTACTTTGCTTGATAACAGCAGTCTCAGAGCTGCAAATGAATTTCAAAATAAAATGTCAAAATACTCAAGTTTTTCTGTTTTTAAGAGTTTAAGTTAATTGTTGTTCACAACGTTTAAATTCTGTTGGAACAGTAGGTGGTTGAAATAAAAAGCATAGAAACAAAACTGTGTTTGCATAAGCCATGTGGGTGAGGTTATGAGAGCGAATACTGCAGATAGAAATGCTTGTGCAAATGAACCGCATATAAAGCTGCAGTTTTCCTCTATCGCCATCTAGTGGTGAAATGAGGGGCTTCTTTTAGGGTTTCAGTTCCAAAGCCATCTGGAGATTGTTTTTACATCATAAGCTCTTTTGCACAACCAGCAAAGCTCAGCATGTACATTTTTTACATGCTTTAAGTAACTCTCCTTCTATAAAGTTAATTTGATTTATACAAACCTTTTTTTGTTTATTGTTTTTTTTTTTTTATCTGTTTTTACTCAGGTGTGCAAGGTAAAAATCATTCAGTTCTTTATTTGGGGGTATCTACTAATATTTGCTAATTTTAGAAATAATAAATCATGAAAACAAGAAGAAGTGCAGTGGGCTGTCATGATCTCTTGCTTGTTGCAGATCCCAGTGCATCCCACTACGGGTATACTTGCCATTTTTGTTGCTCTCAACTACTGTGACGTGGTCCACGTTGCTGGATTCGGATACCCTCGCTCAAAGAGCCAACAGCAGCAGCCGATCCATTACTATGGATATGCCACCATGAAGTCTATGAAGGTGCGCGGCCACCTGTAGTGATGTCCTTTTTGTTTTAACACGCTCACTGGCAAAGCTTCATATTCCTTGAATACTAATGCTCCTCCACTCTGTTACAGAATTCTTACCACGACCTTAATCATGAAGCTGAAGCCTTAAAAAGACTGGAGGATTCGGGAGCCATTCTCTACCTGCATCCACATTTATGATACAGATCCATCTCCATTTTTCGTGGGGTCATCTGTCTCAGCTCTTAATGTGCCTTCTGTGGTTGGATATTTGATTTTTTCTGAACGTGACAATCCTGGCACCTTATGTGTGTTTTTTTCCTAAAGTGAAATAATAGAGCGATTTAACCGCTTTTCAAATGTTTTTCTTTGGCAATGTGGTTCAGCATTTTTTTCTAAAGAATCTTCAACTCTGTAGATAAAGAAATTAATTATTAAAATTCTGAAATAGAAAAAATGTTGGGCATCAATGCTAAGTGTAGCGACCCAGCTGTTTGTGACAAGATAGCTGCAGCAAACTGGTTTCATCAGTAGATGTCCAGTCTTGGTGCTTGTTGTTTTTCGGTTCTTGTGATGAACTGAGTTGATGGAATGAAAACATCTGACATGAGCAGTTTTCACTTGTCTGGACTTTTCACGTATATCGTTAAGATGTAAGCCTGATGCGAGTGGTTTATCGAGTTTAGAATGAAATTTGTTAATTCTTTTGAACTCTGATTCTTTATCTTTAAAGTATGGAACTGTGTTCAAGTCAATGTTTTTTTTTTTTAAATCAAATGACAATTTTGCTCATTTGTTATACTTTGACTACGGTGATTGTTTCATTATTTATTTCATGGTTTTTTTTTCAGATACAAATGGTACCACTGGATATTTTGTAATGTACAGAATAAAATACATTCGTAAATTAAAGGTGATCAAAACTGATCATAATTGATTTTACAGTTGCTTTGCCCTTTCTTAATGTTTTATTTTATTTGAATATTGCTGTTGTTACCACTAGATGGCAGTATGTCTCCATTGCATGCATAATATACAGTATATCCAGTCTACTGCACTGCACATGGTGCAATCATGCAGCAGCCCCCCCACCCCACGTGCCCCAAAGTGCCTGGAGTAATGGAAACACTAAACCTAGCACTAGTGCATGTGCTAGTGAACGTGTGCGGTATGAACGTCTGGGAAACCAAAAACCTAAAAACTTGGAAGGACTAAGGTACAATTGCTGCAGGTGACATGCTAGCGATGATGGTCTGCTCTCTGCTCTCTGTAGACACCAAACCTTCTATTAATGTTAACGTGAATGGAGCCTGGCCCTTGGCGCTTGAGCTGTGCTCATTCACAGAGTGGTACATCCTCAGCTGTGACAGTGACTGCCTCATCTGCTTATGTCAGTTTAATGGCAGACATATGCTGCGTTTTCAATTACCCCAGCAAATGCTGTGATACAGCCACTGCTACAACTTTGACTAATAGTAAAAGCACACTCACACTGTAGTTTCTCCAGATGTGAATGTGGTCTGTGGAGCTAGAGCGATATCACACCTGAGTGTAGTGTTGTGCCTTCTGAGCAGCAATGCAGACATTCTCCTGAAGGTCACACTGGAAGCGGGATACCTTTAAGCTGCAAATATGATTTACTGCGCCTGCATAATAGCAGAACCCACCACATGACCATGAATGGATACTACAAACTCGGTATATTTGCTGTGTGGCTCACGTCCACATGTTTTGCCTGCATATCACCCGTAAGGAGGACAGTCCTTTTTTTCAATAGAGTAGAAACAAACGTCATACACCCCTTACACTCAAATTGACAGTTGCTAACTGACACATTTGCAAATGAATCTAAAAGCAAAAACACATTTACAGTATAATCAGATTTGACTCATCCATTGTTATGTGGATGGCTTTAACTTGCAAGGTAAACAAACATCTACCACCGGCTCATTTCATATGTGCACTGTTGCCATAATTAAGAACATCCTGTCTCAGGATGATGCAGAAAAACTAGTCGGTGCATTTATGTATTTTATGCTAGACTGCTCTCATTCCTTACAGTTGGGTTTTCCTAAAAGCTCACTGAAAATCTTGATCCAAAATGCTAATGCATGAGTACAAACAGGAACAAGAAAGGGAGGTTATATTTGTCTAACATTAGCTTCTCTTTGACTTCAGTAAATTTAGAATTCAGTTTAAAATTCTCTATTCTCACATATAAAACCTTGAATGATCAGGCCCCATTATATCTTAAAAAAACCTCATAGAGCACTTCTCTGTCAGACAGCGTGCTTGCGGTTCTTAGTTACCAAAAGAAGGATGGGAGACAGACTCATGTCCTGTGGAGCATGCACACAGTTTGGGTTTTGGAGACAGACATCTTCTTTACTTTCAAAATTAAAGTTAAAACTTTCCTCTTCTTATAAAACTTTTATCAGCAATTTATCAGCTGACCCTGAATCATCCCTTAGCTTCCATGGTTCCATGATCACGATGCTTTTACATTCCAGTATGTCAACAACCATTCTCCTCTCTCTTCTGTAGTTTTCCTTGTGAATGGTGCTACTTGCTGTTTGTTATCTCCCTTTGCTCCACTTTTTTTTAAAAATCTCCTCTTTCCTCCCTCTGTCCAACTACTTGTGACAGATGGCTACCCTTTCCTGAGCTCAGGACTTTGAGTGTTTAAAGGAAGCCCTTCTTTCCCATCACTGACAAGTGTTTTTCCTCATAGGTTATCATCAGAAGTTACAGAGTGAATAGAGCACATCATCCTTCATCCTTCACCCTTAGATTTGCTCAAACCAACTCACATTCATGATTGTTTACATAATTACACACCATATGTTTAATCTCAAACGCAGAAGAACTTTTTCACATGTAACTGCTTCACATGGATCTGTTTATTTTGAGAATAAACAGATATCTGTTTGAATT